GTGATTTAAAAAAATAAAATAAAGGGTTCTATCATCAGAAGTTTACTCCCCTTTTACTCTTGACTTTTAAAAGAACCACCACTCCTGCCTCCCTTTATATTTAAAAACAAACACCAAGAACTAGGAACATTTCTGTTATAGCTGAAGTCAATGCCAAAATCTCATTCAGGATTTCACCTGTTAACTTAAGGGCCTCGAACTGCGTGCAGGCAAATGCTATTGATTTCAGATGCTTTGTGAAAGCAAGTGAGAGCACCGTAAGCAACTCTGCTATAACTATTTCTTCCAGGTGACCTGCAGCCACTATTTTCTTGAGTGGCCCCACTGAAATCAGTGGGCCAGGTATATGAATCCTCATCTATCTGAATACAGTTTGCAAGTTCAAGCCTAAAGACCCAATTCAACTTCCATTGAAGCCAATAAAAACATTCCTCACATGATAGATTGATTAAAATCACCAATTCTAATTTCAATTTTAATCAGGCAGTATGAAACCTTGATCAATTTTAATCTAGTTTGGAATTTGCATGCTTTAGTATTTTCCTAAAAAAAAGATTGATTTTCATCATTGGTAACCATTAAAACACATCTATTTGCATCTAAATTTGATGCTGCTTTTGCTAACCTGGAAGATACACTAACTCGATACATGTTTATTTAAGCAATTTTGTTGCTTAACATACATTTATTCAGACTCTTAATTTTTACATTTTTATTATGTTAGAAAATGGCAAATGAGTCATTTCTTCTTTACTAGATGATGATTGTTTTTTTTTCCCATCCGTGATTTGTGTTGAGCTACATTTGGATAGAATTTGGAATTCAATTAAATGTAGAAAAACAGCATTTTAGAATGTATTTGGTATTCATTAAATCTACCTTTATTGTGCTGGAAATATAAGAGAAAAGTGAATTGATTAAATGATGTTTTGCATTTAGAAATAATTTATTAATCAAAAAACACATCTTGCGGGTTAGTGAATTGAACTGAATACTTGCAGTCACCATATCCTTCAAGATGTAGAGTAGCAAGTCTCATACTTGCACACTTGCTTTTTATTTATAGATTGGAGGAAGAAAACACCGGGTCCTCCAGTTTTGCTGTTTTCTTTTAGCTGCCCTCCCCGTTAGCTGCAGACAATACGGTTCTGCCCAAATCACTTGGCAGTCTTAATGGTTTTGAATTGGGGCTTGGCTGACTATACTTGGAAAGAGTAACAGCCACATTGCGCAGCACGCTGTTGAAGTAGACAAACGGGAGGGAAAACCCTCAAAGTAGCATCTGTTCCTCACCACCCTAATTGCAGTTGTAGTTGATACGAACTCTTCATTTATCTAGAGTAAATAAAACATTTCAAGATAGAAATATGTGAGAGGCAAGGATGTTTGTGGGTTATATCTTATTGGACCAACTGCACGCTGGATGGGATGGGATGGGAACTTGAAGAAGAAGGGACTGCTTTTGAAAGCCTGTCTAAGCCATCCCAACCATGGTGTTAGTCCAATCAGAGATATCATCCATGGCTAATTAATGACTCCAGGTTTTGTGAGCATGGGGGTGATGCTCTTGCCGTGATGGTCCAGGAGATACGCAAGAGTTCTTCTGGGTGACATCTTTTATTAGACCAATGGTATGGTTGGTACAGACATAGCAAGCTTAGGCAAGAAATAGAATCAGTTTTCTGTTCACGGTTCCTTCTGAATCCAATGTAATTTTTATACTGTTTTCCCCATGTTGTCCTCAGGAGATTGAAAAGGCCTGGAAAATGGTGGATGCTGCCTATGAAAAGGAGCAGAAAGCAAAGGAAACCATTATCGCGCTGAAAGAGGAGATTACCAACCTGACTAAATTAGTGGAGCAAGGATCTGGGTTATCGCTGGGGCAAGAGTACAAGTAAGTCACCTTCCCGAGGGAGAGGGATGGCTTAATTTCATGCCCAGTGCAATCACGGGGTCTTGTGCTGCATGGCCCTGCACTTTGTGCCTTGTATGATCACTTATTTTGGTGTAAAGTGAGTGCATATCAGAGTAGCAAATGCACTTTTTGCTGGGGTAAATGGCTGTGCAAAGTGCGCACCAATAGAGATTCAAATTTAGCAAGTTCACTTAGTATTGGGTCAGGCCCAGAGAGATCGAACAACATAGAGATGATTCGTTTTCGGGTCTGCAGGGCTATCTTGTTAGGAAACATGTCTAATTTGAGTGGCCGTGTCTGAAAACACATGCATGGGTGATAACACCAAGGTTCGGGGACCTGGGAGCCAGGAAACCTGAACTCCTTGTCCTCAGCTTTGCTACAGGTTTGCTGCGTAACTAAGGACAAGTAACTTCTGTCATTCGCTGTGCCCCTCCCTCTCCTTTTTTATCTTGTATATTTATATTGTAAAATCTTCCAGACAAAAGTCGTGCATTTATGTAGTGCCTGTCACTGGGAGGTTTGGACCTCGTTTGGAGCCTCCTGTAATACAATATAACGACAACAGATCATTCTGTGTAGCTGAAAAACTGCAATTGGAATATGTAATTGGAATATTTCCAATAAATTTAGCTTTTTCAGGATCAGAGCCTCGGGTTGCCTGTGCCTTTGAAGGTGGGGCAGGGAGGCATCCTAATTAGAGGCTAACTGTTCAGAGACATGTGAGCTTTTGTAGCCAACCACTTGCTTTTGTCAGTTCATGCGCCTCTGAACTAGTTAGTGTCTAAGGTGTCCCCATGCCCTGCTTTCTGCTTGACTTCAGGTTAACATGTCTAACTTCCTATGTGTTTTTGGACAAGAGAGTATTTTTTATTTATATGTTATATCTTCAAGGCATCATCTGTGCAGCCAGACAGATTTCAAGGAGCCTGGATACAGCAGTGTGGGGAACCTGGAAAAGGGTATAGAAATAGGGTGGCTGGTTGATTCTCCAGTGGGCATCAATGGCACCAAGAGTTTAGATTTTGCTGTGATGGTGACTTTTTAATGAGTGCTATAGATAGAGCACATAACGTGATTGATAGCTGCAATGGACTAATTCAAGAGGAGTTTAAAATGGAATAGGCAACACTTAAACTCTAATTCATTGCAAAAGAGCTTGTTCTGGACTCAGAGGGGGGTACAGGGGGTCTTGGGCACTGCTCCACTATTCTTTCTTTTTCTTTCAGTATCCAGGATTTGCTAAAATTTAAGGACGAGGTAACAAAGGAGCGAGACCATCTCTTGTCAGAGGTTGTGAAGTTACGTGAAAGTCTAACGCACACTACAGAGCAACAGCAGGAAACGGAGAGTGCAAAAACCGAGGCAGAGCAAACCATCGCTCAGGTCTGTGCAGCTCACCGGGTTGCAAACGCAGGCTTTGTCCCAAACTGTTCCCCCACCTTTGCAATTGAGAGCTGCACTGTTCCCTGTCATTTTCCATTCCCCACCCTTTCAGGGCTGCTCAGCAAGGAGTCTGTCATCAGTGCTTTTCATGCTTTGCTTTCTTTCCCTCCTGTATTCTTTACCAAGCTGTCTGTTATCTACTGACTTCTTCCTCAACTCCCATATTCCCCGAGTTTGGCTGGAGCCTCCCATATCCAAGTTAAAATTCCCTCTCAGTTTTGGCATGTCTCTCCTTGCACTGGGAACCTCCAGGTCTGCAAGACAGGAACGTCAAATGTAGGCCTGGAAATGCCCCTTTGTGTTACCGACTCCAGCCCCCTGCCTTCATAGCCAACCACGTCACACAGTCCGTTTCATAAAAGGATCAGGGTACCTCTTCACACTACTTAGGATTTTTCCCTTGCTGCTCCTATTTGGAGCCTATTCTAGAGCTTCGCCCTGCTCACGATCAGTTCTTTCCTAAATTTATTCATGGCCAACTTATACCTATTTGCTTTGGGACGTTCTTGCTTTTATCTTAAGTTGCTCTTTTCCCTCCTTGGTGCTTACCCCCACTTAAGAATTTATGGAGAGCAGTCCTATCCCCTTGAAGTTTACATTTTGTAAGGCTGAACAAACTAAGCTCTTACAGTCCCTCGTGAGAGTTGCTCTTCATCCCCCCAAATAATTTAATGGATAGATCTTCTATCCCTGAGGGGTCACCAGCTTGGGTTTAGCTGTCTCTTCCTGCATATGGTAGTTGAACATGTAGTGGGCTGGAGATCAGTGAGAGGATTATTTGGAAGTGAGAGAGCAAGAAGGCAGGAGGAAAGCGGGGTGGGAAACTGATATACAGAATGGGGAGATATAGTTGGAGAATGGGAGGGGAAAGAAAATGATACGAGTGCAGGGGTGGAGAGGGCAGGAGGGAGAGATTAAAGACAGATGGCATCATCCTACTTGCAGTAGACCTTATTAGTCACAAACTGGAAAGCAGGCCTGGGCTACTGCTCGGCATGAGATGTAAGGCACTCAGGTTACCCATCTGGAGCAGAGAGTTTCATAGTTTCATAGTTTCATAGTTTCAGGGTCGGAAGGGACCTAATAGATCTTCTAGCCCGACCCCCCGCCAGGGCGGGAGAACAACCCAAAAAACACAAACAAAACCACTCACCCTAAAAACAAAAACGGGACTCAAATGAGTCCAGCCAGGTAAGTATCCAGCCTCTTCTTAAAGATCCCCAGGGTAGGGGCCAGCACCACCTCCCTTGGAAGTTGGTTCCAGCTCCTAGCCGCCCTGACTGTGAAGTAGTTTTTTCGGATGTCCAATCTGTACCTCCTCTCCATCAACTTGTGCCCATTATTCCTTGTTATGCCAGCAGGGGCTAGGGGAAACAGCGTCTCCCCCAAACCCTTCTGGTTCCCCCTAGTGAGTTTATAGACGGTCACCAGGTCCCCCCTCAGCCTTCTCTTGTGGAGGCTGAATAGGTTCAAGTCCCGCAGTCTCTCACTGTAGGGTCTGCCCTGTTGTCCCCGGATCATGCGGGTGACCCTCCTCTGGACCCTCTCCATGTTGTCCACATCCCTCCTGAAATGGGGCGCACAGAACTGGACACAATACTCCAGCTGCGGCCTGACCAGCGTCGCATAGAGGGGGAGGATCACCTCCCTGGCTCTACTCGAGATGCACCTGTGGATGCACGACAAGGTCCGGTTAGCCCTGCCAACCATGACCTCGCATTGTCGGCCCATGTTCATCTTGGAGTCAATAATGACACCAAGATCCCTTTCCGCCTCCGTGCTCTCAAGTAGGGAGCTCCCCATCGTATAAGTGTGCTGCTGGTTCCTACTACCCAAGTGCAGCACCCTGCACTTGTCCGTATTGAAACACATCCTGTTCCTGTCTGCCCACCCCTGTAACCTATCCAGATCCTTCTGCAATCTCTCTCTCCCTGCTAGCGTGCTCACCTCCCCCCAAATTTTGGTGTCATCAGCGAATTTAAACAGGTTGCTCTCCACCCCAACATCAAGATCGCTGATGAAGACATTGAACAGCGCAGGGCCCAGGACCGAGCCCTGAGGGACTCCACTACCCACCTCCCCCCAAGTCGAATATGATCCATCCACCACCACCCTCTGAGTGCGACCCTTCAGCCAATCTGCAATCCATCTGACCGTGTAGGCATCTATGCCACAGTCACCTAGTTTACTAATTAGGATGGGGTGAGAGACGGTGTCAAAGGCCTTGCTGAAGTCCAGAAAGACTACATCCACCGCGACACCTGCATCCATGGCCTTTGTGACCTGATCATAAAAGGCAATCAGGTTGGTCTGACATGATCTCCCCCTAATAAATCCATGCTGATTGCCCCTGAGCATCATCTCGGATGCCGGCCCATCACAAATGTGATGAGTTGGGGTTGCAAAGCAGAGGAAAGGTCAGTATCTCTGCTGGGCTGAGGGAGCTGTGGAAAGTCATCCCTGCTACAGCAAAGGGAGATCAGTGAAACACCCATCACACTTTACAGTCATTTAAATCTTCCCACGTAACTTTTAATGTCCCAGCATTTCCTGAGACAGAGCCTCTTGAGCTCTGAATCTTACAGAAGGTTTTACTCTTCATGCAGTCGACTCCCCATGTCTCCCAGCTCTCGCCGTAGTTACATCCCACTCTGCAACACATCCTTACACCCTTCACACCCACCACCTTTTCAAGATCTCATTGAAGGGCTTGTCTGTTCTGGCCATCGTTCATCTAGACAGTAGCTGTTAGAAACTAAAAGCAGTGCTTGCGTGCTCCTAGACCATGCATTGCCTCGGAGGCGCAGTGTCTGAGCATGCATCAGATCTGAACGTGGAGCATTCAGCAGAGCTGCCGGGAACCATAGTAGTGTTTGCAAGCATAAAACCTATGCACAGGAGAGAAGAATAGGTCAGATGTGGGATCTTCATGCAATGACTGCAGCCCTTGGGAAGTGGCGCTGCTGTCTATTATTGCAGATCCTCACGCTGGGAGAGCACTGTGGTCTGGTAGAGGTTGTTGGGAAGGTGTGGGCTTTAAGATTGGTGAAGTGAGGGGCCATACAGATAGAAATGGACCATAGAGATAGAAGGGAGAAAAAGTGAAGCTACAGCAAAAACCTTTAAAAATGTGGCTTGCTTAAAATAGCACCAGATCTTTGGTTCATTGGCTGTCTTCACTGATCAATTTATCCTTTAACTTTGATATGAAATCGTGGGCCACGTACTGTGCTTTTGTCCTCTCAGAAACTGAACAGCTAGTCAGGGAGGGCTCCATCCTCAGCTCTTGATTGCCATATCTAAGGGGAGCAGCAGCGGTGGCTCTAGGTAGTTTTTCTGTTGATGTCTCTACTGAACTAACTGTGCATGCAGTTTAGAGCAGCCACAGGGCTTGTCTGCTCTACGCTGGTGAGAATGAGCCCCTGTAAAACACCCCATCGTAAAACTCAGCTCGCCCCGTGTGTGGCTTTTGGCACGTGATGGTTGATACCGCAGAAAACCTTGCAATCAAATAAAAGAACTCGGTGGCTGCGTCTGTACGCGACGCTTCGAGTGCAGTAGCCTAATTTGACTGCGCATTAGCACAGTGGGCAAAACCCGTGCTAATGCGCTCATGCACAGTAGATTTAGTCTGCTATGCATGAATGGCACAAAAAGACTGTTCGTTTGTGCTAATGCGCAATAGTGCCGATTACGGTGCATTAAGTTAGCACCTGTTATTGCAGGGCACTTACACACGTGTGAGGAGCTTGCTCCTATGCACTGGAAACCCAGCATGTCGGAGCAGACTCGATTAATCATAAATTGAGGTGCTCGGGCAGCCTCATGCATCATGTGTATCTGCGGCGCTATGCGCCTCCACGCTGAGAAAATGGCAGTGGTGTGCTTTGAACTACAACATGTTTGATCCGCTTTAGTTCAAAGCGCGCCATTGCCATTTTCTCAGCATGGAGGCCTGCTGTGCTGCTGAATACATGTGCTCCTGATGTGATGCTAGGCGCTGTTAATTAGCAAGGCTCACTAATTAAAAGTGCCTGGCACCACGTTGGGAGCACATGTAAAAACGCCCACAGGCATTAATGCACCATAATTATGGCCCTGTAGATGCCCTCAGTTCCAAAAATGCTGATTTCTGTCCAGTCAGTAGGGGAGCAGATCTGACATATTCCATCACTTTTCCGTAAAAGCCACACACTGCCACTAAATGCTCAGCACAGTAACAGGAAACTGTACACTGTTTGCCTACTTAACTGACAGACAAAGCCCTAACAGCGCTCTCCCCACCCGTCATTATGTGACTGCAGCTCCAGCAAGAAATCCAGATGCGTCAGAACGAGGCATCGCGGGAGTCTCGGAAGAAAGAGAAACTGGAGAAAGAGCTGAAACACCTCGTCTCTGACACAGACAGCAAGAACGTTGAAATCAAGACGCTTCAGCAGCATGTGCAGAAGACCAGAGAGGAGCTCCTAAAATTGGAGCAGCAGCTCAAGGAGCAGAAGGTACGGTTGGTTGTTCTGTTTCCTTTAACACGTGTGTGTGCACGCTCACGCACGTGCACACACCCACACGCACACAGATTCTGTGGGTAAGGTTAGGTCTCAATACAGAGGAAATTAAGTTGTTCTAGCATTTTCATAATAGGATTGAGAATGCGGAGGTGATCTTTCCATCACTGGATGGATTATCCTATCGTCAGACGTTTATTAACTAGAAGTCTCCATTGAGTTTGCAATGTGCTGTGACAATCCTATGCCAAAACCTTGCCGCCTGTGCTCCAGGAAGCCTTTTGGTAATCAGACCAGGATGCCGTGTCTATGAACTATGTTCTGCTTCAGATGCTTGGGTGTATTAGATTGGTATACTCAACTGAGCCTGAAGGAGGTAGGTTTCCAAATCCCTGTGCAATTTGATGGGATTAGAATTGGGTATCTTTGAAAATACCAGCCTGCGTGTCTAAATACTAATTTAAAGAGCAGCACATGACGGCACAGTTTTATTTTTTTATCTAATGAACATGTATCTTGTTCAGACTTTAAGGCCTTTGCTTTCCTGTCTGTCATGTGATGATGATGGTAGGACTCTTCTTGAAAAGGCAATAAGTAACTAGGAAACAGCAAAGAGCATGTGCGACCTAGTAGCCAGAATAGGAGACCAGCAATTTAGTATTCCCTACTCTGCCACTGCCTTGCTAGATGGTGCGGGGAAAGTCTCTTAACCCCTGTTCCTCTCTTTCCCCATCTGTCAAATGGGAATACTGAACTTTACATCTCTCTCAAGTTTGCTCTGAGGTTTGGGTAATAACAGCTGTAAACATCCTCAGATAAATGTTGCAGTAGAAATGCAGAGAATGGCCTTCGTGATTCTTTATATTGTTTTCAAGTCGTTTTTCTGGGAAAGTCCTAAAACAGTGTTTTGCAACTAGTTTGTGTCTTCAGGTTTTCAGTCCATTTCCCCCAACTGAGATGCCTCCAGAGAAGCAATTTCAGCAAATAGCAAAGGAGAGTCGATAATTGTAAAGCAATGTTACCTTGAGGAAACTTTCTCAGGAGTTGCGTGTATCTTGCAAATTCATGGTTGCTTTCTTCCCTTAGGTCCCTGAATCAATGTGGGTAGAAGCCTGTGACAGTTACTTTGTTAATTCAGTATGAGGTATAAATAAAATATACCTCACATAAAGAAATGGAGGGAGATTTGCCTCTTTCTCTGCACAAGACTGGGTTTGGTGCAGCCCACAACGCAGCTCTAGGATGCACCAAATTACCTAGGATATCCCCAACTCCAGCATGCTGTCTCCTGCCCTTCCATAATACAGTAAAACCCAGATCACTCATATTCACATCAGGTTACTGATTCAAGGGCACAGCTGTTTAAAGGTGTGTACAGAAGTGCTCAGTGCATGTTTTACAGCTCTGTAATTTAGAGCACTTCTTATAGCACTATAAAGTTTCAGTGCTCTTAAACATGACAGAAGTTCAGTGTTTGCAGGGGAGAGGTGTGGGGAGAGGGGGCTTTGAGCTTCCCTGCAATTTTCAACTTTGGAAAGTGCTCCACATCTTCCTGGGTCTTCTCCACTGGTCAGAAACGTAATCAACATACGGAAGTGATTAGAAGTGCTATAAGTCGCCAAAGCGCTGTAAAATACAGCGCTTCAAATTTAATACCTCATCATTTAACAAGGGTTCATTTGAAGGTCCGTACCCATTTTTAAAGTGCTGTGAAGCCGTGCACTTCTAAGTCAAGTCACAGCAGGAAAGTGCTTTAAATGGTGAACAAAGCAACTTTTGTACACACCTTAAATGCAGCTTCTACTTCTGAGGGCTCCCATTTTTCAGTCCTGTGCAGCTTTTTCCTGCAGCTGTGTATACACCGGTTTGATTTACAAATCCTCATCTTTGTATAGGTTAAGGACCTTTTCATTATCCCAGTTCTTCTGTATTTGCACCTCCTTGCTTTAGCCCTTTCTAGGATTTTTCAGTCTGGGATGTAAGGAGACCACATGGGGCGGCACTTCGTAGCAGAGGTTGTTCATTAGTCTGAGAGCAGGATTCAGAGAACCACAGGAGCTGTCTGTGCCCTGCAGGCTTTGCAAACAATCCCGACTCTTTACTGAGTCAGAGACACCGCTCTCATCTTTATCCTGTGTTCCCACCATGCATTTGAGTAGGGCAACTCACCCCTCCCCTTTAGTTTTAAACGGCATGACTTTATATATTGACTTTATCAGTCTGTCACACATGGATGCTTGAATCCAAAAATACGATGACAGTTTTTTTCCCTCGCTTATGAAGTAACGTCTGCCAAGGGAAGTCCCATCAAGCAGAAGAAAAGACTGGCAGCTCCAATATCAAAATATATGTTCTCCATATAAACCTTGAAACTGCTGTTCCGGGCTTTTGACTGAAGACAGATTAGAATGGAAAACGGTCGTGCCCCGATGTCAGCAAATTGTGCACTCAAGGAAATGTTATAGCCATATTAATGCGGGATTTGCTTGTGAAGATATAGAGCTCCCCTGCCCCTCAGCTGATTAAAGCTGTTTGAATCTCCTACTCATTTGCAATGATTACAGCGCGGCGCTGTTGTGGATGTGATGCCTGCCAAATGGCAAACAGGCATTAAAATATTTATCCACCACCTGTGAGGGAGACTTACAGAGCTTCCCCCCTCACCAAAAAAAAATGATGCTGGCTGCAGTGTTCATTAGAAGTTGTCATTTCCCTTAGCTATTGAGCATTCACCCTATTTCTGAGCACATTAGTCATTTCATCAGGGATAAAGAGGGGTATCTATCAAGGCGGGTCTTTCCCGCCCCACCCTGGGGGAGACTCAGGGTGCTGCATATGTGCATAGCATCGTGAGATTGAAAAGAATTAAATGGCTTGCTCTGTAATCTAACAGATCCTGAACGAGAGAGCCGCCAAAGAGCTCGAGCAGTTTCAGCTCAGAAACTCCAAACTCCAGCAAGAGAATGAGCAGCACAGCCTGGCCTTTGAACAGGTGGTGCAGGAAAACCAGCAGAAGACAGTGGAGCTGAAAGTAAGTACCGGGCACCCTTTGGATCACTTTGGGGACTGGCGTCTTGTCCGCTGTCCCAGGTGAAGCAGGGGTAACCCTGACCGGCACTTGGAAGGGGAGTCTAATTGTTTCAAGAATAGAGTTGGCCATCCAGTTGTTCAGCCTTTCTTCTCCGTCAGCACTATGCAGCATCCAAGCATAGCGCTAGCTTGTGCCGTGCGACCGGAGGAGCTGTCTGTCAGAAGGGACGTTCAAGTAAGTGCCTGACCTCCTCCGGTCATTAAAGATCCCATAGTAATTTTCATAAGGATAAAGTCTTTTTTAGATTGTCAAACCTGTGGGCGTAAAAAGCTTGTAAAAGCTGTGCCTCCCTTTACAGTTTTTGTAGTGATTAGCACACTCCAAGTGCTATCAGAAGCCAATAATAACTAGCAATAATAACCGTGCTCCAGCCAATTTCCAATACACTAAATTACCTCCTGCCTATTTAAATGTACCCTTCAACATCAATTGGAGAAGCTCAGCACAAATAAATAAACTAGTGTTTACTAGCTGATCCACACAGGTTTCTTATGGCTGCATTTCAGCGGTGAGGGAAGGGATCCTCAAAGTTTTTAAAGCCCTTTGAGAGCCTTTGGGAATAAAGAGCATTGTATAAGTGTTAGATATTATTACTATATGTCTGCTGGGCCATGTGTTTTGTATCCTGTAACATTGCTACAGTTACAACATTGGTTATGTTAGAGAACAGGACAGAAAACCAATAGCTTATCATGCTTTACTAAAGTACAGCCAATTCCCTTGAATAAAAGAAGTCAGTTGCTGATAGAGAGCTTTTGTTCAGTGGACCCTGCTGGTTAAAAACAATGAAAACAAACCACGAGCAGACATGTTAGAAGATCAGTTCAGCGCTAATGGAACGGAAAGATCCTACTGTATTTTGGATCCACCGTGAGATTGCAGTGTAGGAGTTTTGCTTTTCGGTTGTATTGCCAGGTACACTGGAAGGACATTTTTATTACCCATTAAAAACCCCCAAATGACTGTCCTCCAGGTTAGGCGGCATGATCATTATTTCCAGCAATATCATCTTTGTGTAAAACTTTACAAGCAACGCGTTCAAATAGGAGGCAAGTACAGGACTGTAGGGAGTGAGGAAGGAGCGAGGAGGGAGTGAGGAGGAGGATTTTAGTTTAACAGCCAGATCCTGATTTCACTGAAAGTCGATGGAGCTCATCACTATGTCAGATCATGCACAGCGTGGAAATGCTGGAAGATGCTGTCCGGTTGTTACTTGTGCATATTGAGAAAGCACATCAGAGCCCTAGTCAGGGAGCAGGACCACACTGCTGGAGGCATTTTAATTGCATCCTAGTCCCACAGTATGCCGAATAGCTTCTGTGTTGGGTACCCGCAACTCCCAGTGAAGTACATCTTGTAAACCTGTTGCAGCTCAGTGTTGGTCAGTAGTAGTTGAGGGCATCCAGTTCCTCACAGAGGTACTTGCACATCCCGGTACCGGGCTTCCTAATAATGTCTGATTCTATACAAAGCAGTGGTTGCTGACATGGATGGCTTAAAAAATACAGTGGTGATGCTGGAAGCGGTTGTATTAATTTCTCAGTAGTTGTAGGGACTATTTCTGTTGACTTCAGTAAGTGTAGTGACCAATGATTCTGGTATCCAGGTTGTAGCCATATTGGTCTAGGGGAAAAGGCAATCAGGACTCATAGTAGAGATGATGTCTTTTATTAGACCAACCAGATTTTTGCAAAAAAGATTTCTTTCATTGCAAGCTTTCAGGCACAAACACCCTTCACCAGGCATTGGAGAAAAGATCGTAAAAGTTCTCCTGGGTTGAAATGAAAGTTTGTATTTCATAGGATTTCACAGAGGAGTCAATAGATGGAAAACTCCTCTGGGCAGGCAGTTCATAGCTGGTATGGAGCCTCTCACCTCCTGCGAGGATCTGTGATGATGCAGATTACCTTGAACTAATGATTAGTACCTGTAGCATTTCAGTCTGGAGTCTAGATCAGGCCAGCGGTACGCTGCTTACAGCAGTTACCAGTGCCTTGCATTGCAAAGGAAGGCAAAGCTGCTTGCGTAGGGTCCGCTGAGCCCGTTGTGTAGTGCCATGCGTGGGTTGCACTTGGGGATTCTTTATTGTTCGTTTTATGCCCTGAAGCATGAGATTTGATTACCCTTCTCATGGCCCTAGCTGGCTTTGTTTAAATTATTTTTAATAACCGTGCAATTATCCAATGTTTTTTCTAAATCCGCCCACGGTATTTCTCACCATTACCTCTTGCCACGATGAATCCTGTAGATTATCCATCTGCTGAGGAAAACGGTGTTTCCTCTTTTTGGCTTCTAAGTGAATTGCTCTTTGTTCCCCCTTCATTGCCTCTTGCTACCACGCAGGTCAGAGAGGACGAGGTGACTCAGATGCGTCACGAAATCTCTAAACTGTCCAAGGCAAGGGAAATCATCCAGAGGAAACTGCGCGTTGCCGAGGAGCAAAAGGTTGAAGCAGAACACGAGAGGGATACCCTGAAAAATCAAATCTCCGGATTAGAGAGAGGTAGGGACCTATACATGGTGTTGGATCCACTTTGGTGAAGATTAATTCAGTGCATGACTGTCATGGTCATGACCTTTTGGTGCCCAGGGCGGGACCGTGGAAATGGGAGCTGGTGTGTTGCTTACTGAACTGACTTTATGCACAATACATGAATTCTTTTGCGTCACAAAATGAGGCCGGGTGTCTTTAACGTATGCATCTCTGTGACTATGAAAGCTGATGCTCCCTCTCACAGACTACAGCCAGGCCTTTTACTGGGAAGGAGGGCAAAACAAAAGAAGTGTCGCTGAGCTTTGGAAAGCATGAGCATGGCAACAAATATCAATATAGCTCTTGGCAACTTCGAAAGTTTGTTCTGTTTCCAATGTCCTGAGCTTAAGCCTTCACAATATCACCTGGGCACTTATTTATTCTTCCATTCCGGTTTAAGCTCATCTCGTCTTACTTTTTAAATGATCCTGTCTTCTTTACGTGTAGATGAAAGGCTAATCTGGACCTGTTTTCAGGTGGATGTAACTCCATGGAAAGAAGTAGAGCTGCACTCTTTAACAGCAGGGCTGGATTTAGCCCTGCTTGACTGGTACAGCTTTGAAGTCTTAGGCCAACATTTTCACAAGTGACAAGTGTGTTTACATGCCCTCGCTTTTGGGTGCTCAGCTGAAGGCTTCTTAGACCGACTGGGCTGCTCAGCACCGTCTGAAAATCCAGCTTCTTTATGTTGCCTCAGATTGGGCACCTGAAAATGGAGGTTCCCAACGTGACCAGTCATTCTCAGAAATGTTGCCCTAAATCTCAGTCATAAGTGCCAAAATCTCATGTATGTCCCTATATGGATAATATTAAATAACTCTTTTTATACATTGTTGAGGTGGTGTGATAGCCATGATGGTCCAGGAAAAAAATCCTTCTCTCTCTCTTTTTTTTTTTTTGCAACTTCCACTGTCCTCTCTCTTTATTTTTCTAGCTGTAGAACTTGACCTCAGGGTTTTTAATGTTTTTATCTTCCCTTTAGAGTTGGAGGTTGCTAAAAAGCAGGCAGAGACTGATAAGAAAGCTATAGATGAGCTTGTAAGAGAAAGGGACATATTAAACAAGGTAAGCTTGCACCGGTAACATTGGTACACAGATAACTTGCCTTGAGAATGAGATGTCTATAGCTTAAACCATGCAGAGAACTGGCAATACAAGGAGAACGTGATGAATAATGGCCATCAAGCTTTTTCTAAGCAGCTGCTTACGTTCTGTTTTTTTTTCTTTCTGTGAATTGAAACAGCATTATTACCTGCGAACACAAAAGGGACTTCTAAGTATTAGCATATAAAACAGCAGGGAGTTCAGAAGTGTTAAGTGCTTTTGCCTTTATTGCAAACCTGTTATTTGGTATTCTAAGGAGGTGATTACATCTCTGCTTTTTATATCGACACCATATAAAGTTTAATGTTAATCTAGGCAAATTAAAGCTGCGCTAGTAAAAATAAAGCCACACCAATGTGTTCAGTGGTCCTATATTTGCATATCAGGCTTATGTTTTTTTAACTCCAACCTTTCCTGCCTCCTTTGTGATCCATTTGTCGCAATGACCATTTTTCATGTGTCTGCAATTCTCATATTGTATGAAAACAGCTCGTGTTAATGGTAAATTAACCAGAGATTGGTAAACGTGACTCCAAGAAGTGGTTCTTGAAATTCTTGTTCAATTTACAAGTTAAATTTGGCAACCAGAGAATGAAGTTGGAGGGTGTTGGGGTCCATGGCAACTTCTCTGGCTTTTTCTGGAATGGATAGATGTATGATTTTAAGCCAGGAGTTGTTCCACTGCCTTCATTGAGTCACTTCATAAGCAGCAGTCCTTCTATAATGCAGAATTAGTGTTCCAGCTTCCATAGCAAATGTAGAAAAAGGGCTGCCACATCCTTTAGTGACTCTGCCTGAGTCCTGGAGAAATTCTCCTGTTTTTGGGGTTGGCTGGCTTAATTCAGCAAAATGACTCGGGGGAGTCCATAACCCACTGCTGCAGAGGCTAATGTTTGCCTCTGCAACTTTCTGAGTTGCTAAGTTCTCTGCTTTGGGATTTTCTTTGCAGAACTTGCTTAAAGCTGCCAGTGCCACACAAAAGCAGCTGAACCTGGTGAAGCTCCATGAACAGTCCAAGAGAAACTTGGAAGAAGAAATCCAGAACTACAAGGATGAGGCTCAGAAGCAGAGGAAGATCATCTACCAGCTGGAGAAGGAGAGAGACCGCTATATCAACGAAGCTAGTGAGCTCACCCAGAAGGTGTGGAAGTGTTCGTTTGCATGCACGGTTCCTTTCTCTCTGTCATATAGATAATTATAGAGTCATAGAGAAGTCGGGCTGGAAGGGACCTCCAATGGTCATCTTGTCCAACTTCCTGCCTTAGGTAGGATCATCCCTATCCAAATCATCCATAACCTGAACTCTACATAGGACTGCCATCAACCCTGACACAACATAGACCTAACGCCCTAACCTGCCACAAGTAAAGCAGGGGTCCCATGACAGCCAATGCCTTTCTGCTGTGACATGTTGTTGATATATGCTGTCTGTCTTTTACTTGCAAAATTGGAAAGACGTGTATTCCCTTCCTGACTTTTTAGTTGCAGCTAATAGGTGCATCCTATCAGTGGTCTTCAGAGAATACTTGGTGGGTCACAGTGAAGGCTGGTCATTGCACTCAGCACCACCTTATACATCAGTGCTGTATTTTAGGCTAGCGTCATCTACTTTCTCCCTGTTCCCCCGTGCATTTTAGAATGCTTCCAGACATGTTTGTCTTCTGTTAGCTTTTCCTCGTTTTATTCAGCTGTGCTTTGCCAGCATGTCCTGGGGAGCATAGGGCTGAGCATGCCCTCCTCATCAAGTCCACTGACACACTCCAGGGTTGGACGTTCACTAGCGAGTCTGCTTCACGCTCATCTCCAGTGCCTGCTCTTTGTCTTCAGCAGGCTTGAGGGTGGGCACCAGGGATGAATCTGGAGTCGCCCCAGTGTCAGGCTTCCAACGCTGGAGTGCATCAATGGATCTGGGTGTGTAGGGCATGCTCAGCCTTGTTCCCTCTGGTCCTGTTCTCTCATCTGCTGATGTGGATGAGACAGGCCCACGGTGCCCCACTTCCAAGTGGGAGGTCTAATGAATGTGCCTTTGGTGAGACTCGAGGTCAGGTGTCCTGTTGGGATCTGGTTGTGCATCCATTGCATGTCTCTCACCAGCTCTGGCTCAGAGCTTGAGACTTAAATCTGTGTTTCAAACCTTGGTCTCCTACATTTGTTACACTGAAACCATGGGGTTGACCCTTTTATATTTAATTATATCTCAGGGTGCAAACAGATGGTAGTTTTACACTGGTTTAACATCCATCCATCCATGGGGTTTTTTTTCGGTTTAAGACTGAATTAGTCATGAATTCCCAATCAACCCAGCCGAGCTCAGTTGTTCAAGTCTGCATGGCTCTACCACTGGGCAAGTCTCCTCCCTCGCAGACCCATCAGCTTGGGACTTTGGATACTCTTGAAACCCATGGCAAGCATCCTATGTGCAGGCCCCCAGCCCAAGGACGTTGGAGTTTGGATGCCCCCTAGTCATGCTTGCTCCTAGCCAAAAGAGGGAAAGCACAAACACAGTCCCCCATTACCACAAAATTGTGCAGTCAATTTTCCTGCATTTGGGAAACTCCTAAGGGTCATCCTGCCCAGAGTGCAATGGACAAGGCTCATCCTGGGAAAACCCGTTGATTATGGTATCGGTGCAACCCATCAAATTACGCTGGTGTCTGAAGCAGTGGAATAAACAGAAGCAATCGGCTCTCCTAGGTAGGTGCCTGGATTAGGCCTTACCATTTAGTGAAGGAGGCTGATAATAACCGGCTTGCATTGAGCAAAGGCTGCCTTGGGAGCAAAGGCTGCCTTGGGAGCAAAGGCTTCAGCTGTGGACACACAACACATACATTAGTGTAACTTGCACTGGTATATTGTTACTCCTGACTGCCTGAGAGGTAACTTTATCTTGAAGTGGATGTATATGGATGCAGGGCTATATGCCCTGTGCCCCTTCCATGTTTATACCCATGTACTTACACTGGAGTGTGTCACGTGTCCACACTCTTACTCTTGCATGGCTTTGTTTTATCTTCAAAGGACCCACTCCTGCAAGCTAACAGCACACGAGAAATCTGCTGGGAGCTGAGGATGCTTGGCATCCTCTGAGGGGCTCAGCGCCGCACAGGAGTGGGCCCTTTACTTGTAAAATCACCTCTGAACATCTGAATGCACCCCAGCCTATAATACCTATGCTGTTTCGGTGCATCTCTGCAGACGCTCTGCAGAGAAATACTGCAGAAGCATTTGTGTTGTATTCATTGCCTCCTATTAAGTACAGCCCTATTTCTGAAGGTGTACTAAGGAGCATGATTGTAACATGTTCCATTAATTGCCGAAGATCACATTGAAGAGCTCTCCAAGAAGCTCATTGATTTACTGGGAAGCTAGCTTCAAGCTGTTTCAACTCGCAGGTTATTTGCTGCCTTCTCACTTTATAATTACCTTTTATAGCTTTGTGCGGCCAGTGGCTTCATATCTTCGAATGATACATGCCCCCTTGTCTGGCTGACCTTGTATCATTTCTCAGGAATAATATTCCTTTTAAGTGAGATCTGTCTTCGTTCCAAAGTCATATTTTACATCATCCCCTTCCCCTCTCATTGCATCTGGTAGGAGGAAAGTGTGGCCAAGCAGTAAGTCATAGCAGTAACAATGGCAAGGCTCTGGCTTTAGGACCATTCATTTCCGCTCAATTTTTATATTTAGGGTGAAAATAACATAAGTTTGTTGGGAGTGAGGAGAGTGTGTGGGGTTGACTCTGGAGATTTTTGGGTATTGATGGAAATTATTTGTAACCCTTGACATTTTTTAAGTCCCTACCCCAGCACCTCCCTGCCTGGCATAGCACGGTGGGAGGGGAAGTCCATGCATTTCTTCGACCCTCTCCCAAAGGTCCTTCAACCCCCTTCCAAATGCCCTGCCCATTTCCCCACTCTCAGAGCCTGGCAGTTATGCCTGGCAAAGCCTGATCAAAGGGGTGTTGTCCTCACTGTGGTGGAGCCTCAGAAAATAAGTTCTGGCTCTAGGGCTGTTTGTGTAGGGGGCCCTGCACTGTGACTGCCATTTTCCTGGGGATTTTTTTCACTTATTTGATTTACTGAGGGACAAATCCTGACTCAGCCTGTGGCTACAAAGGCACTTACTACTCCAGGACCCACACTGATCTGTTTTACAAGTTGCACAGGTTGCTCGGACCAGCACGGTACTTCACCCTCTAGGCATGCAGGCGGTCCCTGTTCCCGGCTACTCCTTGGTTTTTGAGGGCAGAGCCGAGAAAGAATGGAAGCGAGACTGGTGCATGCGACGATGCATAGACCCCTTGCCTGTGCTTGTCTGCAAAGAAATCTGTGGAGCTGTGGCAGCTGAAGGAAAACCATCATACTGCTTGGAGAAGAAGCTTCTTTGCCCATAGGATTTCCTTGTGGCCTCCCCCAGCTGTGTCATCCCCTTGCATAAGCCATTAAAAATAGCCTAGGGAATTAGAAATAGCCATTAGAAATAGCCTGGGAATAGGCTCCAATGTGGTGCCCCCTCCAAATGATGGCACAGCAGCTGTGCTCTCTAGGACCTTAGCAGCTTGCCCAGCTGATGCCCAATATCTTTCAGATCCCCTGCCCAGTGCCAGGCCAGATCCCCTTGCTGTGCCACTGACCCTAAGGCAGGGCCATTCATTCAAGGTGCCGTATTCCTGTTTCAAAGCCATTTCCTATGAAATCTATCTTGCTGGGGTGATCTGATCTCAGCTGACTTTCTGTCCCTTGGGCAGGGCGCTGGACCCGATGATCTCAGGAGGTCCCTTCCAACCATAATATCTATGAATCTATGAAACCTATTAGCAAGCAGTTGGATTAATATCATCGTTAGAGCGGTATCCAGGCTGATGAAGGGTTTTAGGGTGAAAAGTTCCCATAGACTCACCGTTGGGATCACTGGGCCTGATTCTCTGCTCCTTTTTCTTTTTTGGACCATCCATTGATTTCAATGGCATTACTCTTGCTTGACAGCAGCGTGAGAGTGAGAATTGGGCCCATTTCCCATGTAGCCTGTAGTAGTTTCTTCCCAATGTGAGTAGAGTGCTTCTTTCATGAAAAAAAGAGGCTTTTATCACCTGAAGCTGAATTAGTGGCACCTCTGCTCCCTTTTGCAGCTTCGGATGTGGAAAAGCACACCGTTGATTAAGCCCTTCAGTCCCGCCTGTCATTGCTCCCTGATCATGCTGAACTAGAGGCTGTGGAAACAGATCCTCTGAAGTGTTGTTTTTCCAAAAGCCTATCATGAATTTGACATCACATTCAGGGAAATTCACAACTCTGTTTCTTTTTTAATGTGCTTTGTCTGTAGGATGCCCGGTGCTGTGATGCTATAGACCTTTAAGACATAGGGAGGATCTTGAGACCTCACAGTGGGGTTAGGTAGAGTGTGGATCCAATGTAGCCCTCTTAGATAGGTTAACTGAGCTGAGCTAATTAGGAGGTAAATAATAGCTAAATTTACACACAAGAAGGCAAGGTCATAGAAGAAAGCTGTCTAAAGTGGGCTGATATTTTATGCTAAGAGGTGGCCACTTCGTGCCAAGCCCTGACAAGTGCCAGATGCTTTCAACTCAATTAGAAGGTGGGGGCTTAGCCCCTTAGAAATTGGTCTCTGGGCCATATCACACATGCCTTTTCTGTATTTCTGAAGGGGAGATGTTTGAGGTTCATCATTTCAGAAGCAGCACCGTCAGCATTAAAACCAACTTGGGAAACTTAATCCCAAAGTTTATTGGACTTGCATCGCCTCAGATCGGAGCAGGAAGGTGACAGATGCAATGACCTACTTTTGCATCTTGCTTCAGCCTTGCTGGTCACCAGACTATGCTGCAGATTTAAAACATGCCTTATTGATTTTTTTCCCTCACTCTTATTACTATTGGCAGCTTGTTTTAAATGAAAAAGAAGAGGCAGGAGCAGATTATAAACTGGGACTCTGCTTTCATATCGCGGTGTAAGCGGTTTCTGGGCTCCTCGGCAGTCGGCTCCAAATGTGCCGGCACTCCATCCCTACTGCTGTCATAAAACTTTCTATATTTAGATATGCACTATCTCCAGAGCTGGTTGGAAGGATATGATAGAAAAATCAATTAATTAAGCTCTTGCCCCATAGCTAGCCCCCTAAAGACCTCTCAACATGCTCACCCTGCTCTAACATTTACAGAGGGGATGACTATGCTGACAGCAAACTTTGCTGCTATTGAATATGTGCTCTAAACATGCTTGGATTATTTTTTTCCTTTGACTTCACATGAATATAAATTCCACTTGAGTTTGAACTACTGTCTTCAAAGAAGGGAGACACAACTAGTGGGTGTGAATTGTAGTTACAAATTGCCATGTATTCCCTCTGTGAATCTACATTTTTCTTGTTGTTTTTATGCCCCTTGACCTTTGTGCTGTCATTGAGGATGGGGTTCTTGTCTCCACTTGCACGACAAAGCCGGAAGCAGATGTCCCTAGCGTGCACGTTTCCCCCTCTTCATTCTCCTTCCGTACAGTATTTGGTACATCCTTGCCGGATAACCACACAGCTCTGCTTGCTTTTGCTGAGCTTTTGTAAAGCTTTTGCTAGCAAGTGAAAGGGGCTGGTTTTACTTAACGCATCATTAAAAAGCCCAGCCAAAATAATCAGGCTAATCACGTTTGCTGTCACTTCTATTCTATAATATTTGCTATCCCCATCGCAGTGATATGCTGCCAAGCTTTAAAAAATAAAAATAAAAAATGAGTTTAAAATAAAAAATCTTAAAAAAAAGTCACTTTCTACCTCCATTGTGAGTGGGTGTGATCTTCCTTGCTCAAAAGCTGTCCCGCTCCTACAAAACCCATCCACTCCCATCCCTTTCAGTGCAGCAGACTTCCCTGTTCCCAGCCAATCACAGATGCTCCTATGGGCAGTTTCCTGCCTGCCCATTTAGAGCAAGTGTAAATACAGTTTGTTGGTTTCCCTATTATTGTAATTACCCATAAAAAATTGAGATTGTATTAATCCAAAAAACATATTGTTCTATATCTACTTTTAAGTTGTTGGAACATATCGCACACTTTCTTTCTGTTTGCTATATAGGTGATGGATGACTATAAATAACTTAGTAGTTTTCCTCTGATCTCTGCTTTGTCTCAGTCTTTTAAACCTGTTTATTGTTAGGGCTCTCGATAATCTGTTTTTTTATTCTCCCATCTTAAAGCACTTGTGTGTTTTTATGCATTCTTCTTTGATATCTGAGCCAAAGCCCTGGCATCATGTAAAAATCACATTTTCCCCTAAATCCGCAGCCTAGAAAGGTTAAATTTCCCATTTGGACTGAGCTGATGGTGACTGTAGCCACAATTTTCTTATTACAGGGATTTGCAGCTGTCATCTGAGATAAAAATCACAAAATTTTATCCCGCCCTAATAGTCTTGGGAAGGCAGCTTAATCTTGTTCATTTCCTACTTTCCACTCCAGGTCCTCCAGCACATGGAAGATATCAAAGTGCGGGAAATGCAGATTTTTGACTACAAGAAGAAGATAGCAGAGGCTGAGACTAAATTAAAACAGCAGCAGAACCTGTATGAAGCTGTGAGATCAGACAGGAACCTGTACAGTAAAAATCTGATTGAAGCTCAGGTACAAGAGTACATTTTTTCCCCAGGATTTTTACTTTTTTTTAAACTTTGCTTTTTCTGAAGTGAGAGTTAGAGAAAGGAATTTGCGTGGGTGATTTATACGCACAAGTGCATGCGTGATGGCAGTTTATTAGGTGGCCATTGCCTTATCCTGACATTTGGACTGGGAAGTGGAATTTATCATCCTCACATAGCAATATTTCACTGCTCCATAAAGACCCTGGCACACTGGTGACACATTCATGTCACTCCTTGTCTTTCTTCTGCCTCCACACTTCTCTGCCCTCTGCTAAGTTTGGTCGGTACATGCAGGAGTCATGAAATAATGAGAATGACATCCCCTTCCCATCTTCCTACATACACACGCTGTTGTGACTCACGGATCAGAAAGCTGTAACAGAAGAAACACTTTCAAGGTGAAGTAGCATTTTTCTGGCAGACTTTAACGTTTCCATCTAGGCTGGAAGTTTTGGGAAGCGTGATGATTCCAATTCCTCCCACCCGCACATTTCCCTGCAGGTCCCCTGAGCAGTATGAGAAAAGACGCAAACCACTTATTTAAAAAAATACTGCGTTGTTCTTCAGTAATGGCTGAAACACTGGGGGGATCCTGGGGTGTGCTGCAGGGATCTGAGCCTGGGGTCCTTTGAGAGAACAAGGAGATACACAATAAACCTAGAGGCTAAAATGTAAATTGACAATCTGACGTGAGGAAGGGGTGCGATGCAGGTATACTGCCCCAGGAGGGATGCACCGTGCCTAAGGGCTTCTGTGTCTTGCACGCCTCCCCATTTAGTCTGGAGAGGAGTCAATGACACTGTCGAACAGCTTATACGCTCTCTCTGTGCATCCCATGAGCTATTCCAGCTACCTCTGATTAGCGATGGAGCTAGGGCTCCTGTCATTCCCAAACTTTTTCTTCCCACACACAGTTTCAGACTCACTGCCCCAGCTTCCCTCTGCATGTGGAGTTACAGTGGGAAGCAAGAGTGGAGGCCCTGCTCTTCCTTGCTTCCCTCCATAGGCAGGTAAGGGCTGTGATACCATAGCTCACAGCAACAGGTGAAACACAAGTTAAATTGGATGATGCATGTCTATGTGTGCAAAGTATTCACAGGAATAAGGATGATGCATGGTGAGAACCCAAAACGACTTTCCCTTTTTTTAACTTTTTAAAAATATGATAACAACTTGTCACCCAAGTTCCTTACCCCCTTCTAGAGAACTGGCAGCTATGAACTGAGATAGGCTAATGCATTCAATTCTTCTGCTCAGTAGGGAAGAGGCCTCACCATGTCCTGTGTATACATACAGTCCTTGCAGGGGTCTCTGCAGGAAACTACCTACTACAGAGGCCATTCGCTTACCCCTTGCAGATTATTTGATGTATAACTTGCGTTAAATGTAATATTCTGTGTCAGATGACAGCTACTGCGAGAGCATCCTTTTGGTTATAATCACACCACTGGACTGTGTGCAGCAATAAAAAAAATACTCATTCATAGTTCACTAGCAAGCCAGCCAGCCATGAAAGAAAAAAATTGGCTTGTCTTAAAAACTATGCAAAATTCTCATTCTCTTGGGAAGTAAAATAAATTGGCAAAAACTTATTTAGATAGAGCAAAGCTGGCTGCAGGTATTTTTGGATTGCTTAATAAGAAAAGGTCCCCTGTTAGCCTGCCCTGCCCACATTACTTGTGGTCTCCAGGGCATCATAATCTCCAGCTCAGTAAAATCTCCTAGAAACGGATTTCTTGGCTAGGTTTCAGC